GTGGAACATACCGAACAACTAAAGCAAAGCAATCCGGAATAAATTTTAGTTTCACAATTTTAATAGGAACACTTTTGATTGCTGTAGGCCAATTTTCTGTTGTTAGTAACGTCATGTAATCTTCCTTGTTATTCACTCCTAATTTAAGACGTTTATTTGCCTATCCAACTAATGAAAAATGTTGAATACGTATATTATGTTCTTTAAAATGCTTTTCAATCAAACTTCTAGCTTCGAAGGCTGAAGGAAGTCGATGTATAGTTGTAGATTGATCGAATTCGATGAAAAAGCACGGCAAATTGGAAGAAACAGCACGTTTTAGTTGATCAAAGGGAAGTGATTTCGGTTGTTGCGCGTTAGTTGTTAATGCTTGTTCCCTTTGTATGTATGCATTTGTGCTTGGTTTGTGTTGCTTCTGTGCTGAGCTGATTGATCCATCGCTCTCGTTGAGCGGTCGACTACGTTTTGGAGTTGATGATTTATGTTGAAAGCTTGTTTTAATATTTAAAATTGATGGAATTTGTTGTTGCTCTTGGTTTCTTTGATCGTTGTAAGTATGCTGAAACGACTGCTGTGCACTACGAGCTCGAGTAAATTCAAGAAACTGATAAAAATCATTCAACATGTTGGGGTTTTGTGCTAGTGAACGAAGAAGACCTTCTCGCTGTTCTATAGTGTTGCTATCATAGTAAATTGGTGGTTGAAAACATTGTTGCTGCTGTGATTCACCCATTTCAGATTCACCAGTAATGAGATGAGTGGATCGAACGAGATTGTTTACTTCGGCTGATTGAACTTGGATAGAGGACATTTAGTGCTCCTCTGCTACGGCAGGAGAACTTACAAGATAGATGAGTATGTATGAGAACCGTCAGGAATGCGACTGTTCTCAATGAACGCAGATAAAGAAGTGATTGTTAAACTTATGATTTCATAGTTTTCAGACTTCGATTTCCATTGATGATTGTTTATCATAAAAACTTGATGAAATTGATTTCTAATGCATTTTTCAAGGTATTAATCTGAATCATCGATGAGTTCATAGAAATGAAAATATTTTATTTCTCGTCGAACTTTCGATTCATCATCAAGTAACACTTAGAACATTCGATCAAAAACGTCGATGGCCATTGATAAAGCTTTTTGTGAAAGAGCTTCAAGAGCATCGAAATTTTAGAAAAATCAAAAAAAATAAAATTTTTCAACTAGATATCTCATTTCCGAGCTTTCAATATTCATCAAATAAGTGAAGAAGAGAAGATTTGAACATGAATATGTACGATTAATTAACTACTATCAAGTATCTAAACACCTAATATGTACTATTCTTCTTCTATGAAAATCATTATTCCATCAATATATAACAAAATACTTAGATAACTTTATTTTTGTTTTTTAAAATATACTCTGTTAAATAGGAAATGATTTTTTACAAGATAAAATAACATGATTAAATAGTTTTAATTAATTTAAAAGCTTTCTAAAATAAAAAAAAAGTTTTTTTTGCAAGAACTTGTATAATAAATAAAATATCTCAAAATTCATTGATCTACATGATAAAAAGGCAAAATAATACTTCAAAATATTTTTATATAATTCAAAAACTAAAAATTTCTATATAATTAAGTTTTAATCATAAAATGAGAGCTGATTTTTGTAATGATTTCAATGAGGAAATGATAAATATTTTTCTAAAAAAACAATCATGAATGTATGTCGAGTATAAATAACTGTAGTAATATCAATGAATAGCAATAAAGAATCTCTCAAAACTTAAACTTTGCACTAATTTCAGGTATTCAAAATATATATTGAGGAGTCAAAAGCAGTTTTTTGTTAGGTTTTCTCTCAACGAATAAATGAAATTCTAATGAGTTTTGAACGCTTGAATTTATATCCAGTATCTTAAAGTATCTTTCCTATAGATTTGTTCTTTTTGTAACATCAAAAATTTGATGAATTTCGAGAGCTCGATGTTCGTATGGAAGAAGTAGAAATCTTCTCTTTCAAATTTTCAACGACTCATAGCTCCTATCATGTGTTATTTAAGGTCTAATTCGATCAGTTCGAAAGAATATATGAGAAAAATGATCGAAACTTCTTTGTAAAAAGAAACGAATCTTCAAGAAAAATTCACTTGTAGAAATTTCTATTTCATATTCAATGTCGCAAAACATTTTCAATGTTTAATTCATTATTGTTGGATTTTCATTATAATCAGATAGTTTAATCAAGAGAAATATTATTTAATTTCCCTTTACTTTTGTTCTATTTTATTCAAATTATTCTCAGATCAATAAAACTTCAAGAATATATTCTTTATTTTTAATTCTTTCGATTGAATTTAGATAATAAATTGTTTTTGTCGGTTTTTTTTTCCATAGTTCAATAGATAGTCGAAATTTAACATGTACTTAGTATATGATACGCAACTGTTCTCATCTACTTTTAAAGAACTCGAACAGTACGAGAAAATGGATCATTCTTTCATAGAAATAAATTCTTTTATTTGATTGAACGTTCTCGGAAAAAGAAATATATTCCATCAAAAACCATTCTTAACATTTCTTATGCATTGGAATGGATATTGAATTTTTGAACTTGATGATTTCCATAATCGACAACATAGAGATTGCCGTGTCGATCGAATGACAAACCGATGGGTCCATTGAGTTGGTTTGATTGTCCTCCACTACCGTTTCCACCAACAATGACACTTCCTTGTGTGGCTCCTTTAGGCCAACGCATGATTCGATCATTCCCAAAATCAGCCACATAGACAGTGCCCAATTGATCGACAACGACTCCGTGAGGAGATGACAATTGGGTAAGACCATTTCCTTTTCCTTGACCACCAGCCACAACAATGCCTTGTTTTGCACCTTCCATCCATTTCATCACACGATGATTGTTCCCATCAGATACGTACACTGAATGATCTCGATCGACGAATACGTATTGTGGGCAAGAGAGTTGATCGAGACGATTTCCACGTCCATTGCCACCTGCAACCACTGTTCCTTGAGATTCTCCTCTTCGATATCGTCTCACTTCATCTCTTCCATAGTCAGTGACATAGAGAGATCCATTCTCGTCCATTGTCAAACCCACACATGAGATGTTGGAGATGATTGTTTCTCCACTTGTCCCATTTCGACAAGGCCATCGAACCACTCTTCTATTCGAAGTATCGCATATGATGAGACTATCTCTCTCTTTGTCGATAATCACGTCATGTGGGTTATCCAATTGATGATCTCCACTTCCTTCTCCATTTCCACCGGCAACCACTTGGCCATTCGTTGCACCTTGTTTCCATTCCACAATACGATGATTTGATTGATCAGCAACATATATTGTTTGATTATCATCAACATACAAACCACATGGGTTTGAGAGTTGATTGATTTCATTGCCTTGTCGATTTCCTCCAGCTACAGTGATACCATTTTGTTGCCATCGAGCATTCGGATGAATGTTGGTGCTGGATGGAGAACGTAATGGATAGTCTAAAATAGAGAGAAGAAAAATTATTAAAATAAGAGAGAGAAATTTTCTCTTCATAGAAATCGAATTTTGTTACAAAGCGAGAAACCTTTTTTAGTCAAATTCTCAACTTTGTCAATAATGATTGTTTTGTTTTACAATATCTTGTTGAATTCAAAATTATTCATTGCCGTTTTTTCTTTCAATCATCCATTAATTTCTTTATTTTGCTTTCAAATTCGATCTTTGTCATTCTGGTATTTGATTTGAAATCTATAAGATTCTTATACAAACGACTATTTGCCAATATCTTTCACATTCTCTTCGACAATAAGTTACGATGCTATTAGCGAGGGGTGTTTATGGTCAATTTTCAAATACGAATAAAAGAAGAGAACTTGTGAATTGACAGCTACATAATCATATTAGACAAGGATTAATTCTAGATCGTTGAAGAAGAACTGTGCAAAGCCAGTCTTCATTTAAAATTGAAAGGTCTCACATAATTGCCGTATTGTGTTCGTCAAATCGATTAGATTTGTCATTTATTAGAATGATTCTTTTACACGTTATCTACAGATAAAAATGAATTGACGATTTTACAAACTAGCTCAAAATTAGCAATGAATAAATTTAGTCTTTTTTAGCTGTACTTGGCTGAAAACTTAACAAGATATTTGTCGAAAGTTTTATTTGTTTGGCTGGGGTTCACAATTATTTATCTGTGAGTAATCAGACGAAATTCATCTATTTATCCAGCTCAGTTTCTGGAAGTTTTCTCAGTCGAATGTATCAGAAAAGTCAATATTGTTATCACACCTCGAATCGAATCGAATTAGTTCGGTTTTGGACTCTGATTATTATAAAGATGAAAATTTTTAGAATACACAAACTAAATAGCAAACTAGAATAGATTGTTTGTTTCCTTCATATATCACATAGGTAGGCGACTAACATGGATTTATTTTGATATTCAACTCGTGTTTTCGCAAGTTCTACTAAGAAAATAAAAGAATTTGAAAACTCATTTTCTGTGATTGCATCTTCTTTAACAAAAATTCGGTTTAACACTTTAAACTAATCTAATCTAATGGCAAGAAGAGACCAACTTTTAATTGAAAAAGAAAAAAAAAGCACTTGATCAAAGAATAACTAGCACAAACAGTGTTTATTTACATGTTCTAATAATTAAAATAGAACGAGAAAAGAATGAATTCAATTTCCAATGATATCTATGGAGTTTAAAATAGATAAAATAGTATTAATCATGATGATATAGTTGCATCCCAGTTATTTTCACGTAGTTAGATTTCATATTTTCTTGATTGATACCAAACGTAATACTAACATGAAAGTCAAAACTTTTATTTGATTAAGTTTATAAAAGACAAAAAAAAATAACGACACGAGAGACAGAATGAAGGTTATCGTCCATGATTGTAAAAAGAAATATTTGAAATGATAAATCATCTACGAAAACAATCAGGCTTCTAAATTAAATAATTATTAATGAAATTTATCTAAGACAATAACGCACACATGTCGCTCAATGAAAGTACTAGTAAATGTTGATATTCAAATCTACCATAACACACCAATTCATAGTCATATCCTTATCATCTAACATGTGTTTCAAAAAATTTATGGAGTTTGTCTGAAGTTATCCTTAGCGAGAAGGATGTTATGATCTTTTGAAAGATAAGTTAACGTTTTTTCTTCTGATATACTGATAGATCTCATGCAAAAAATATTAGAAAGAAATTAGATTCAAATCGATTTGAATATGATTTCTTCCCCTACATTTCTTCCATGGAAGTCGCAGTACAACAATGTGTTACAAAAATTATATCTCACTTAGTTAATATGTGCTACCTCTGGTATTATATGTATTTGTAATGTTTCAATTGTTCGATTGAAGACTATTTATGACTCGAGTTCGTTTTTGCTTCAATACGCTATTTTTTTTTCTATTCAGCAAAATAACGAATTGTTTTTTTGGCACGAAATTTTCCCGATAAGCGAATCTACTTATAATTTTCAACGATCAGGCATGGTAAGGTTTTGATTAAATATGATGTAAGTAAAAAAAATATATTTTTTGATTAAATAGGAAAGAAAATAGTGCTGGATACTAGATTGATATGTACTGAGAATTTCTAATGGTTTGATTGCTATCCATCTCAATATTCTACAGGCAACAAAAGCTAAAAATTTCAATATATGTACTATTTTATGTGATCTACAACACAATATTTTATAACCAGTATTTGGAAATTGTGACATGCAAATCTACGTTTTCCTAGGCGGTGGCTAGAAAATCAACCGAAAATAATAACCAAGTTTTGTTGACTTTATTTGATTTTCTCCAAAAGAAAAACTAAAAATGTATTTACGATGAAATTTTGAGAGTTTTCGAAACAGATTTTAGAAGACAAATGCATTTTGAACATATATTGCTTCAAGGTTGTTCTCAGACAGAAACTAACTTTTCGAATCTTGTTTGATTCAAAATTAAAACTCAAATAGTAGTTCACTTGCTAGCTCTTGATTAGTTCTCTGAAGCAATCTTGTTAAGTAGAAGATTCAAAGTACAGAGTTGATCATTGGTTCCAGTTGTTCAGTAAAGATCTTGATGAGATCTATATTGGATAGAAAAATAATTTTAGAACCTCTTCTTCTACCTGATAAATCATCAAAATGCCATTTTTTTTTCAGAATATTTTTGGCAGTATGTTTCTTGTAGCATTTTGAAAGAGAATGTTTGCATCAATGAAATATGGTAACTTTGTAGTTCTACAGATACTGTATTGTTTTTTGAAATGTGACTCAGTTTGAATGGTGAAAGTGTTCCGAAATTATCATAAAAATACTGAGTATACCTATTTTTAGGAGCTAAAACGAAAATTAAATCAGTATTTCAATTCATATTTTTTATCGATAAAAAACAAATCATGTAACAATACATGATTGGACTTGAGGATGATTGTGGCCAGACTGTTTTATTGAAATATAAAATTTGAGAATCTCTCCTTATGTATTGAGACACATTCTATCTCAAACGTAACTGTATGTGGAAATATAAACAAAAGCAAATTAGTTAAAAAGAATCATCTATCATTAAGAATAAATCTAGTTTCCTGAATTAACTTAAACTTTCAGAGTTAGATTCTACTTTGAACTTCATCATGAAAGTTAAACTAGAATGGATAACAAAAAAAACTTGACATCATTAATATATGCTACTACCATTCATCACAGAATGCATTGAAATGATATATATATATTCACAATTCTGTGTATAACAAGGTTCGCATAAAATAGTGAAAGTCGAAGTATCCAACAGGTGTTTATCTTATAATTGAAGTATATCATTTTAACATTGATTGTTGAAATTTATAGTAAAACTTGCAAACTCAATAAATCTATCCAAATATTTTAAACTTACAATACCACGTCTAATGAGTATCGATTACTACACAAAACAGTCTGACTACAAACTTTAGCCTGCATGGCCTGTAGACCGTTAGACCATGCTGGCAGCTATCGTATATACAACCAATGTGTATGAATAAGTCAAACAAAATTGAGAATGAGAGTAATATATGAGATAGAAATGATCATATAATATCCACCGATGCATGGTTCCAGATATCGGAAATCAATCAAGTTGAAATATATTAGATTTTACTGAAAGAAGTAAACTGAAACTTTTTCAAAGATATTATTCTATTCAAAAAAAAACAAAAACCATAATTTATTTACAATGTAAACTTCTTTTCGGAGTTGCTATAAGTGAAGATTTTTTAATGATCAGTTTCAATTTCAAAAAGTCAAAATATTTGATTCAATGATTAAAATTACACAATTGCTTGTGTGAAGAAATATCTTTTCTTCAAAGGCTGACGAAAAAACACAATGAATCATGTTCACTTGTTCATGTTCATCCATCGTTCGCAATTATGAATAGTTGATGGATTCATCCATAAGTATCTAATCATATTTATGGAAAAGTTTTTTTCTTCGACTTTTATCTACTAAGTTAGGTGCAAAAGTATTACTCTGTGAAAAATAATTATGAGCTCGAAAACAAAAGTGTTGAAGATATTGGTGATTTTTTGAGAAAATCAAAGCAAAATCAAACTGGCATTGAGAGGATGTAGATCCTATTTTACTGGGTTCTTCTTCAGATTACGCATATTCTCTGCACACATTGGCTCAGCGGCGTAACCAGGATTTTTAGACGAATGGGCAAGTGTTTTATTGGAAGGCCAAACATTATTTGAGCCAACAAAGTACTGATTAGTGTAGACACATATACAATCATTAGATTTTGAACTCCTTCTTCCATGTCATCACTTGTCATTTTTTCGACTCTTCCGATAAAAAAAAGATTTGCAGAAGTAACTTATACAAATTTCCCAATCAGCAAACCTCCAAATGAAATGGGCAATCGCCCATTTGCCCTCTCCTCCTTGGTTACGCCACTGAATTGGCTAGCATATCACTGTATGAGAATGAGGGAGCGTGCGTAATCTGAAGAAGTACCTTCTACTATGTTTTGAGGAATGTTCTTTTCTGAGCTTTTTCACCTTAGTTAGTTAGGAAAGAGATGAAAAGTACCATTTGTCAAACAAATTTTGACTTCAAATGTAAAAATGTTGAAGGTCTTGATCATTCTATAGAAACATTATGTAGCTAGCAGTTTTCATCAAAACATTCTATCTAGCAAGAATCAGTATATGAGTGATGTACTAATTCTTGCTAGACAAAAAATTTTTGACAAAAAACTTAATATGAGAGAATAACATTATGGGCGTATATATCGTTTCTACATAGGTATACCGACAGGATAATCTAGGTCTTGAATATTTTCACAATTGCGATCATCATTTGTGTTCACAAATAACGCTTTTCGATCACTTTCTACCTAACTTAGTCAAGAAGAGTCTAACAAAAAAAAAATATTTTTGCAAGAACTAGTCGGATACTTCTGAATGTACCCGAATATGAGTTGTTTCATTCGATACCTGCGGTAGAGCAAAGACAATGACAATTTTAGATATTCCGTTCTCAACACA